GCCACCCAGTCCAAGCCCCCCGCCGCGGGCGGGGACATTTCCCGCTAGACCAGGCTGCTCCAACCAACCTGGCCTGGAACGCTTCCCGCCACGGGGCAGCCGCAGCTCCTCTGGGCGACCTCCTCCAGTGTCTCACCACCCTCACGGCAAAGTTCTCCTCCGTGTCCACCCCAACCCCCCCCTCGGGCCGCGTAAAGCCGGTGCCCCTTGTCCTGCCGCTCCAGAACTCTCCCTCCGTCTCGCTTACGAGCCCCTTGAAGCACCGAACGGCCGCAAGAAGGTCTCCTCCTCTTCTCCAGCCTCACCAGCCCCAACTCCCCCGGCCTTCCTCCGCAGATGGCCCCCGGGCCATCGCCGTGGCCTCCTCTGGACCCGCTCGAGCAGACCCGTGTCTGTCCTGTGCTGGGGACCCCCCGCGCTGGAGGCAGGGGGGGACGACCCCCCCCCCTCGCCCCGCAGCCCAGGAGACGCTCGGCCTTCTGGGCTGCGAGCGCACGTTGCTGGCTCGCGTCCCATGTGCCACCCACCGGCGTCCCCAGGACCTGCCCCACGGGGCTGTTCTCCGTCTGTCCGTCCGTCCGTCCGTCCGCCCGCCCGCCCCCCAGCCTGCCCCGGGACAGGGGATGGCCCCCACCCGACCGCAGAGCCTCGCCCTTGGCCTTGCTGACCCTCAGGAGGTTCCTGTTGGCCAACGTCTCCAGCTCCCTCTGCACGGCAGCTCTCCCCTCGAGGGCACCAACGGCACCGCTCAGCTTGGTGTCATCTTCAATCCCAGCACGTAGGTCGCTGATGAAGGTGCTGGTCAGCACTGGTCCCGGGACGGGCCCCTGAGGGACACCACTGGTTGCTGATCTCCATGTGGGGGTTCAGCCGTTGGCTGCAGTTAACATATACGCGCACACATTGACATACCCCTAAAATTAGGGACCAACCAGAGCCTCTCCCGTTGTGTTGCCACCAGCCGCAGAGGCGTTCAACCCAACCAGAGCGACACAGCTCCGCAGCGGGGACGGAGCCGTCCATCCCACCCAGACTGGGCCCCTCGCCGAGAAGGGCCCAGAGCGTTACTCACCCTGCCCCGCCGGCTTGCAAACTTAAAACTCATTTTCAAAAAAAAAAAAAAAATAAAATAAAAATTGGGGCAACGTCCAAATGAGTCAGCCAGGACAAGCCCAATGGATGTCAAAGTCACAGAGATCCCTCAACGACGGAGCAAAGACCAACTGTTGAGTCCCAGCCCGGCCGGTCCAATGTGAACGTACAGCAGTTAAGTGGGCCGTGACTAGATGACTAATTAGGCTTCGAATCCAGTGCAAACGCAAGCATCACCTTCTGCGGCAGCCACGCCGAAACCTCACGTCACCATAAAAACCGCTTTTACACACCCAATTCCCAACTGCAATTGCAATAAATCCGGTTTCCTTTCAGAAAAACGAGCAGACCTTGCCGCCCCAACCCCTCGCCCACCCCAATTAAGCCGATTCACCCCAAAATGAGGGTCACCCTTGCCCTGTAGCTGTTGGGTGGCTGCAGGAATGAAGCTCGGCACGTGTCCACCCCCCTGATTTTCCTGGTTTCACTGGAGTTCGGAGGCGGGAGGACGCGGCCGCGCGGAGGGACAGATCTCGGCTCTTATCGGACGTTCCCCAGCTGACCCGCTCCTCTCCCACCAGCACCAAGAAAACCCATCGTGGTTTGAGGGGACGGCAAAAAATTATCTGGGTTAAGCCCTGCGTGAAAACACGGACCTCTACGAGATGCTCGTGACCGGGTCGCGCCGCTCCAGAGAGAACAAGCTCCCAAATGGGCATCTCCAAAATCACCCCCGAGCCAAGTAAAGCCCAAACCTCTAAAAATCACCATTTCCTTGGCACCTCGGGATGGGCGATGCCGCGCGGACCGAGGGAAAACCCACCCGGTGAGCAGCCACGGCTGGAGAGGCACCAGGAGGGGACTGAGGCTGGTTGGGCGAGGGAAAAAAATTTTAAAAAGACTCAAAAAAAGAAGAACAAAGCGGGTGTGGGGAGGAAGGAAGAGCCAGAGCGCAGACACCGACCCTCTCCAGGAGGTGTTGCTCGCGCCACGCTCCGGCCAAGGCGCCGTTTCGGATGCGCCACCCCCCAAATCCCATCCCCTGAGCTGGGACGAAGAGATGCGTGAGCGCCTGAGCAAAGAAAGCCCTAAAATCAGATGTTTCGTGCAGCTCAGAACCACAACATATATTTTTTATATATATATATATTATTTTTTTTTTAAGGTAGCAAAGGAAAAATCGAAGCTCCCCAAGGCTTGGAGGTGAGCAGTGCCACCCCAAAGCACCTGGGAACATGGAACAGAGAAAGAGGGGGGGGATAAAAAAAAAAAACATAAAAGAATTTAAATTTATTTTTCCAAATGCCATGAAAAGCCTGACGAAGCACGTTACCCTAATTAAGCTTCCCCAAATTGGGAAGGAATATAGAAAGCAGTGGGAGCCCCGGTACAGGAGCAGGCATCCTCCGCGGCGCAGCCTCGGCGCCCAGCTCAGCACCTTTTCGGGGTTTTTAATTTTAAAATCAAGCAGTTCCTCAAACCTGCCCCCCACCCCCCCACACCCCCCCGGCCCTGGGTCGGCGGGACGAAAGCAAAAATCAATGAATTCAGGCCATTAAAAATTACATCACCAGCCGGCCCAAGCGCGCGTCAGGCCCGTCTTTATCTCTGCGGATTTAAACGCCAATTACCGGCGGCTCGTGCGGATACGGCAGCTCCTGGAGGAAAAAAAAAAAAAAAATAAAAAAAAAAAAAAATCACTATCGAGAAATCAAAGCCCCCGTTTCCGTTAAAACCCCTTGATATAAAGAATCATTGTGCGAAGCTTAATCTCCCGGCGAACGCCTTAACCGTTTCCCCGGCCCGCAGCCGGCGCCGTCAATTTATTACCGAATAAAAAGGCGCTTTTTTAATTGCCGGTGGGTATCGCCGCGACGACGGACTCGCTCCGAGGGAGCTGGGGCAGCTGCCGGCGGGCGGCTCCGGCACCGGTTGAACCCCGAAATCATCGTGGGGGGCGCGGGGGAGGGGGGGGGGGGGGTCGCTGCTGCCGCCGCCGGAAAAACTGAAGGAACGCGGGTTGGCGGAGGCAGATTTCAGAAACAGGCCGGAAAAAATGAAAAGGGAGAAAGGGGGGGGGGAAACGGGGGGGGTTGCTACCCAAAAATGCAGATGTGGGAAACAACCCCCCCCCCCCCCCCGAGTTGGGGGGGGACACCCTGAAAAAGCAGCGGATCCCAAAAAAACAGCTTATGGTTCTAGCAGCACAGAGAGGAGGAGACACACCTCCCCCCCCTTCTTTTAATTTAGGGAAGGGGCCCCCACTTTGGGGGGGGGGGGGGTAAGCTGGGTGCTGTGGCTGTCCCCATCACGAGGGACCCCCCCTCCCAAATCCTTGACGAGGGCACAAATCTAAGGGAGGGTGATGCCTGCTTTCCCCCCCACCCCCAAAAGTGGGGGGGCCAGGGCGATCACATCCCCCCCCCAATCACCCTGCTGAGCAAACAGTGTAAAGGGGGGGGGGGAAGCCCCCCCCCGTAGCTCTCAATGGTGGTGGTGGGGGGTGCATTCCCCCCCCTCCCCGCCAAGGGGGTGTCTCCTCCCTCTGCCCTCATGGTGGGGGGGGTCTCCCCTCTAACTTGGGGGACCCCCACCCCCAAGGGGTCTCCCTCACCCTCTTGGTCTTCCTTTAGCCTGGGGGGAGTGTCACCTTGTCGGGGGGGGGGGGGGGGGGGGGGGGGGGGGGGGGGGTGGGGGGGTGGTGTCTCCCCGACCTCCTTCCCTCAAGAGGGGTGGGGGTCCTCCCTCCCAAGACCCCTCCCCTTAAGGGGGGATGTCTCCCCCTCCGCTAAGAGACCCCCCCACTTTCCCCTGGAGGTGTCCCCTTAAGGGGGCGTGGGGGGGTCACCCCTCTCCTTAAGGGTGGGGGTCTCCCCCATTTCTCCCTTCCCCAAATGAGGAGGGGGGGGAATCTCCCCCCGGACCCCTCCCCTTAAAGCGTGGGGTGTCTCCCCCCGGAACCCCTCCCCTTACAGAGGGGGGGGGTGTCTCCCCCCGGACCCCTCCCCTTAACGGGGGGGACGGGTGTCTCCCCCCCGGACCCCTCAACGGAAGGCCCGCGATGAACCCCCCCCCCCCCCCGCTTCTCCTTTCCGCAAAGGCGGGGTCCCCCGTCCCCGTCCTGAGGCCCGGCTCCCCCCGCGGGGGGCTGTGGGCCGGCCCGGCGGGTCGGCGGCCGGCGGGGGTGGGGCGGCCCCATTGTTCCCAGCCGGGGGGGGGTGTGTGTGTGTGGGGTGTGGGTGGAACACGGGACCGCTCCTTACCGTGACGGCGGCGGCGGCGGGCCGGGCCGGGGGGCGGCGGCGCCATGTCCCCCCTCGGGGCGGCGGCGGGGGGCGGCGGCGGGCGGGGCGGGGGCGGCGGGGCCGCCGGGGCGGGCTCGGCCTGTAATGGCGGCGGCGCCCTTCCTCCCCCTCCCCTCCCCTCCCCTCCTCCTCCTCCCCCTCCCTCCGCCTCCGCCTCCTCCCGCGCGGACGGGGGCGGGGGGCAGCGGCGCGCGCGCGGGGAGGGAGGGGGGGGGGGGGGGGGAGCGAGGCGGAAGCGCGCATGCGCGCTGCGCCGCCTTAGAGCCGTAACCCTTCCTTCTCCTCCTCCTCCTTTTCCTTTTCCTCTTCCTTTTCCAGCTCTCCCCCCTCTCCTCCCCGCTCCCGGTAACGGCACAACGCAGGAAAAGCCCCTGCGGCCTACAAAGACGGGGAGGGGGGACACTCTCCCTTCAAAACGAGGCGGAAGTGGGGTTTTTTTTGGGGGGGGGGATATATCCCAACATGCCGCGCGGACGCGCAAAGCCCGCTGGGATATGCAGTCCACGGGCGGGGTGGGCAATAGCTGCCTGGGAACTATAAATCCCAGCGTGCCTCGCGGCCGGGGCGGATATCCGGCGGGCGGGAGGGGGCGGGCCGGGCCGGCTCCAGCAGTGCCGCCGGGGCGGGGGGGGGCACCGGCCGGGACCGCCATGGTATGGATTTAAGGGGGGGGGGGGGGGGGGGGGTCGGGTTTGGGGGCTACTCCTGCCCGTGTCTGGAGGGGGAGAGGCCTGGGAGGGGCCGTTTACGGGGACACCCCCCCCCCCCCCCCGATTGTAGGGTCTATATTTGGGGGAGGAGGAAGAGGCGGGGGGAATGTTGGGGTGACCCCTTACAGTGTCCCTGTGGGAGCGGGGTTGGGGGGGGGGGGGGGCACCTCGTGGGGGGGTGTCCCTCACAGCGCGCCCCTTGGGGCAGAGCAGCTTTGGGGGGGGGGGGGGGATCATTTACAGCATCTCTATATGAAGACATTTGGGGAGGCACAAAATATCCCCCCCCAAAAAAAAGGGAGTGGAGAGCCCCAGCACCCCATTTCGCGCCCCAGCACCCCATTTCGCGCCCCCATACCTCCCCCCCCCCCCCCCCGCAGATCCGCTTCATCCTGATCCAGAACCGGGCCGGGAAGACCCGCCTGGCCAAGTGGTACATGCAGTTCGACGATGACGAGAAGCAAAAGCTGATCGAGGAGGTTCACGCCGTCGTCACCGTCCGCGACGCCAAACACACCAATTTTGTGGAGGTAACGGACCCAAAACGCTCCGGTTTCCCCCCAGATCCCCGCTCCCTCCCCGCTGTTGCCTCAGCCAGCGGGTGAATCCAGAGCTGGAGGATCAGAGCGTGCGGCTGTGCTCAGTCACCCCCCAGTCCTCCCAGTTCCCATTTTTTGCTTTTTTGTTTTTTTTTCCTGTCTTCTCCCTCCCTGCTCCACCCAGTTCCGCAATTTCAAGATCATTTACCGCCGCTACGCCGGGCTTTACTTCTGCATTTGCGTGGATGTCACCGACAACAACCTGGCTTACCTCGAAGCCATCCACAATTTCGTGGAGGTGAGGCGATCACACCCCCCCCCCCCCTCCCCGAGCCTCCCTGCTCCCTGTTTTTTAATTAACGCGGCCGTGCTAACGATCACCCGGCCTCCTTATCGCGCGGCCGCATCCTGTCTGTTCCTCCCTCCCCCAGGTCCTCAATGAATATTTTCACAACGTCTGCGAGCTCGACTTGGTCTTCAATTTCTACAAGGTGAGGGAAAAGGGTTTGGGAGTTCCCTCCTGCCCTGGGGGGTGGTTTGGGGGACACCCCCCCCCCCAATGCAAGGGGGGGTTTTGGGGGTCCCCTCACATCCCCGGGGCGCGGCTGTAGGTCTACACGGTGGTGGATGAGATGTTCCTGGCCGGGGAGATCCGAGAGACGAGTCAGACCAAGGTGCTCAAACAGCTCCTGATGCTGCAGTCGCTGGAGTGATTCGGGACCAAACCCCACCCCCCTCCCTGCCTTCCTCCCTCATCTTCCTCCTCCTCAGCCCCCCCACTCGGTGTCGTGCGTGTGGTGTGTGTCCCCCTTTCACGTCCCCATTGTCGTGGTGTGAATAAAAGCGGCTGCGATGTGCCAAAGCCCCCGGGTCTAACGGCTGAGGGGGGGTGGGGGGGGCAGGAAAAAAAAAAAAAAAAAAAGACCTGCTTTCATTTTGGGACAAAATTGGGGGGCTATAAGGGTGTCCCAGGATGGGTGGGGGACACCTGGGGACCCTGAGGGGTGGCTGGGGACAGGGAAAGTGGCAGAGGGACCCCCCAGTGATGGTTGGGGGGACCCCCAGGCTGGATGGGAGACCCTTGGGGTCAACTGGGAATTTCTGGGGACCAGGGGTGGCCCAGGGGACCCCCCCTGGGGTGACAGGGGGAGCCCTGCGGTGAACTGGGAACTCCTGAGGACCCCAAGGGTCCCCCCCAGGGTGACAGAGGGACCCTCAAGGAGGATGGGGGACCCCTGGGTGTAACTGGGGACAGGGAAAGTGGCAGAGGGACCCCCCAAAGGTGGTTGGGGGGACCCCCAGGCTGGATGGGAGACCCTTGGGGTCAACTGGGAATTGCTGGGGATCCCAAGGGTTCCCCCCCCAGGGTGACAGAGGGACCCCCAAGGAGGATGGGGGACCCCTGGGTGTAACGGGGAACTTCTGGGGACCCTGAGGGGTGGCTGGGAACAGGGTGGGTGGCAGAGGGACCCCTGGGGGCGTCAGACGGGGGGTGAAACTTTGGCGCAAACGGAGCCCCGCGGGTGTCACCGGAGGGTTTATTGTCACAGAGGGTGGGAGGGGTGTGTGTGTGTGTGTGTGTGTCCCCAAGTTCAGTCCTGTCCCAGGCGCTTGACGGCAGGGTTGGGATACTCGGGGTTCTCGATGGCTCCCGGCCCGAATTTGAGCTCAAGGAAGGCGCGGGCGTTGTTGGGCGCCATGGCGGTGAAGCCGGCGAAAGGCAGCGGCACCCGGGGCTGGAGGAAACTTTCGGGGAACTCCACGTCTTGGGGGTGCCCCAACCACGTGTCCTTGGTCATGACCCCCCCGCGAGGGTAGAAGGGCCACAGGTCCACGTGTAACCGGTTGCTCCGGCTGTAGTGGACGCGGTAAAAATCTCCCTCGGCCGCCTTCTCCCAAAGGAAACCCTCGGCGTCCTCCACTGGGTCGCCTGCCGCCGCTGCCGCCAGCCACCGGCATTTCGCCACGTCCTCGCGGTAAATTCCCAAATCCACGTCGTAATCCCAAGGGATGATGTCGCCGAGGCGGACGGCCCCCAGTAGGGACCCTCCTTCTAACCAGTACCGTACCCCGGCGGCCTCCAGCACCCCGGTTACGTGCCGGGCGGTTTCCCGCAGCGCCCGTAGGCAGCACGGGGGGGTCCACCTCCCGGCGAGGAGGTACTGAGGGGTACGGGCGTACACCGTGCCGAAACACCGCGCCGTCTCCTTCCCGCAGCCGTACCAGCGCTCCCGCCCGTCGGCCAGCACCTCCCGTTTGACCCCGAGGTCGCGCATCAAGCGCCGGCGCCGGCCGTCCGCCAGATTTTCCGCCTTCCACCGCCCGTGGGGGGAAAGGGGAGGGCGGCGCGGCGCCGGGAAAGCCGCCGGGAGCACCCGGAGCCCCCAGCCCCGCAAAGCCGCTTGGCTGAAGATGGCGGTGGGCAGCGGTCGCGCCAAAGGGAAAGGGAGAGCGAAGAGGTCGCGCGTGCGGAGGAGCAGCACCGGCGTGCCCTCCGCCGCCCGGCAAGCCCCCGGCGCGGCGGGGCCGTAACGCGCCGTCCAGGTCCGGGGTTCCAGCCGGAGCTCCAGGCAGCGCAACGGGCCGGGCCCCACCGGCGCCGCCACCACCCGCGCGTCCCCCGCGCCCGCCTCCAAAGCGTCGCGCATCCGTTCCAGCAAACCGGGGAGGGGACGGGTGCCGTCGGGGACCAAAGCCACGTGGCGGGTGCGGACGTGGAGTTCGGGGCGCGGCGGCGGGCGGTCGGGCGAGGGCAGTAAGGGGAGGAGGCGGACCCCCGGCGGGAGCGGCACCGGGGGGTACGGCGGCGTTTCGGCGACGACCAGCACCGGGACGGGTAAAGCGGCGAAGGCTCGCGCCGTCGCCGCCAAATCGTTCTCGAAATCTTCGAAATCCCGGAGGAGGACGGTGACGCCGGGGACGCCGCGGGGCGGGCGGCAAGAAGGGGGGGGCCCCCCCGGCCCCCGCCAAGCGCAGTAGAGGAGGAGGAGGTTGAGGGCGATGGTGGCGGCCAAGGCGGCCTGGCACGGCGTCACCCGCATGCCAAACCCTTCTTAATTAGGCCGCGCCTCATTAATTAATTAACACCCCCCACTCCCTCCCGCCTCGTCCTGCCCCGGCTGGGTCCTACCGGTGCTGCCACACGCGTCACGAGCGGGGCGGTCTCGGCGGCGGTGCTGGAAGGAGACAGTAATGAGGGGACGTTAACGAGGGGCTGATTAACGAGCCCGCTCATTAACAGGGCCACCCAGGAACGATCCCCACCCCTTCCTATAGCCACACTTGGTCACTATAGGAATGCTATACGGTCCCACGCGCCCCCTCCTCCTTAAGGGCAGCCCCTATATATTTACATGTGCAGGTCGCAGGTGTTGCCCCACGGCGCATCGCTGGGGGCACCTATAGGTGCCATACCTATATACAGGGCCCATAGGTGGCCCCACGTGCGCCACACATACGCACCTGGACATACAGACGTGCGTGAGCGCGCCTATACCTGCATGCATACACTTATATACCCCTACACACCTGCGCAGAGCCCTATATATTCCTACGTGCTCCCCTTGCGCCTGCCTGTTCACCCCTATAGGTATCTCTACTCTCCCTCTGCATACACTTATAGGTGCTCCTATACCTCATGTGCCCCTATATGACACGCCGTGCGCTGCTTTCCGCTCCCCTCCGCGCCCCGATACAATCCCCTATACATCCCCATACAGAGCCCCCGCCTGCCCCTCTGCACCCCTATAGACTCCCCTATATCTGTATGCATGGCTCCTATGTACTCCTATACGTCCCCAGACACCCCGTGCACTGTATGTACACCCTAGGCACGCCCATACGTCCCCTTGGCCCGTGCCCACCGTACAGCCTATCCCCTATACACCCCTATAGCCCCCTCCCTACCCCCTATGCACCTCTATATGCTCCCATACATCACCTTAACACCATGCATACGCACCCCGTATGTGCCCCATAGGTCCCCATGCACCATCATACCCCCTCTGCACCCCCTCTAAAGCCCAGTGCACCCCCATGCATTATACACCCCTATAGCCTCCATGCATGCCCTTGCCAAGTCCCCTATAGACCCCCATCCCCTATAGCTCCAACAGATCCTTGTGTCCCCCATCCCCTGTAAGTCCCCTGTCCCTTATACCTCCCGTCGTGACCCATACCAGCCTCCCCTATAGCCCCCATAACTCCATTCCCTACAGCCTCCCCCGTACCCTATATCCTTCCCATGGTGCCCTGTACCCTTTCCCCTCTATCTCCCATTCCCTATAGGCCCTATACCCCCCTCCCCTATGCTCCCCAACCCCTATAGTCCCCTCATAGCCCTATTCTCTATAGCCTCCATACTGCCCGTCCCCCATAGGCCCCTATCACCCTCTGTCACCTATAGGCCCTCCATACCTCATAGCCCCCTATAGACCCCCATGCCCTATAAGTCCCATCCCCATAGCCCCCATCACTGCTCACCCCCTATAGCCCCCCTTCCATAGCCCCTGTACCCCTCTGTCCCTGATACCCCTCATCCCCTATAGCCCCCCTTCCCCTATATCCTGTGTCCTCCTCAGCCCCTACAGCCTCCTGTTCCCTGCACTCCCTATACCATCCCATCCCCTATAGCCCTGTGTTCCCCCCATCCCCTATAGGTTCACTGCATCCCCTATACTGTCCCATCCCCTGTAGCCCCTACATCCCCCTGTCCCCTATAGCCCTGCGTTCCCCCTGCAGCCCCTATAGCCCCTACACCCCCGTCCCCTATATCCCCATCCCCTGCAGCCCCTACACACCCCATCCCCTATAGCCCCTACACCCCGTCCCCTATAGCCCCCATACCCCCCCGTTCCCTATAGCCCCCCTACCCTGCAGTTCCCTATAGCCCCTATACCCCCTCGTCCCCTATACCCCCCGTCCCCTGTAGCCCCTATAGCCCCCACACCCCACCGTCCCCCATAGCCCCTATAGCCCCCATACCCCCCGTCCCCCGTAGCCCCTATAGCCCCCATACCCCCCGTCCCCCGTAGCCCCTATAGCCCCCATACCCCCCCGTCCCCCATAGCCCCTATAGCCCCCATACCCCCCCGTCCCCCATAGCCCCTATAGCCCCCATAACCCCCCCTTCCCCCATAGCCCCCATACCCCCTATACCCCCCCATAACCCCCCATACCCCCTATGCCCCCCCGTAACCCCCCCCCGTCCCCCCGTACCGCCCGCGGGCGCTGTTGCCGCGGTAACGGCGGCCCGGCCCCGCCCCCCTCCTTCCGGCTCCCTTTCTGGCAGGAAGCGGCGGCGGCGGCGGCCCCGTGGCTCCCTTTGTGGCAGGGCCGTGATGGCGGCGGAGCGGGCGGCGGCGGCGCGGGCCCAGCCGCCTCCCCCCGGGGCTCCCCCCGGTTCCTGCCCCGGGCCCGGCCCCGGCCCCGGCCCCGGCCCCGAACCGGCGGCTCGAGGCGGGCTGAGCCTGCCCGGTATCCTGCACTTCATCCAGCACGAGTGGGCGCGCTTCGAGGCCGAGAAGGGGCGCTGGGAGGCGGAGCGGGCCGAGCTCCAGGTACCGGCGCCGCGCCCGGGACACCCCCCCGCCACACGCACACACCCCCCCCCTCCAGCCGCACCGGGGGTTACCGGGGCCGCCGCCATCTTGGGAGGAAATGGCCGCCGGGCGGCGGGAGCGGGGGGCGGGCACCGGGGCGGGGGCGGGGGGGCCGCGGCCGGGAGCGGGGGGACCCCCCCCACCCCCCCAGTGCCCGTGCGAGGGACCCCTCGGCCCCGGTACTGGGGGTCCCCCGGTACTGGGGACCCTCCAGTTCCCCGTGTGAGGGACCCCCCAGGCCTGGGACCCCTCAGCCCCAGTGTTGGGGGTCCCCTGGTACTGGGGACCCCTCAGCCCCAATGTGAGGGGTCCCCCCAGGCCAGGGGCCCCCTCAATCCCGGTACTGGGGATCCCCCGGTACTGGGGACCCTCCAGTTCCCCGTGTGAGGGACCCCCCAGGCCTGGGACCCCTCAGCCCCAGTGTTGGGGGTCCCCTGGTATTGGGGACCCCCCAGTCCCCATGTGACCCTCAGCCTCAGTACTGGGGATATCCCCAGTGCTGGGGACCCCCTCCCCCTTGGTATTGGTGATCCCCCAGTACTGGGGACCCCCCCCCCGTATTGGGATCCACTGTGCCTTGGTATTGGGGGCCCCCTGCCCCCCAGTATCAAGGACATTCGGCCCCAGTATTGGGGACCCCCAGGCCTGATATTGGGGACCCTCAACCCCAGTAATGGGGACGGGGTCACCCCCTCCCTGCTGCTGGGGACCCCCGACTGGTGACACTGTTCCTGGGGCCACCACTGTCACTTTTGGGGCCACCGCCATCTCTCCCAGGGCTGTCACTGAGCTCTGGGGCCACCAATGTCACTTTTGGGGCCACCGGTTTTTGTTCCAGGGCTGGCACCGAGTTCTGGGGCCACCACTGTCGCCCTTGGGGCCATCACAGTGCCTGGGGCTGGTGGCGCTGCTCCTGGGGCCACCACTGTCACTCCTGTGGCCACCACCATCCCTCCCCGGGCTGTCACCGAGCTCTGGGGCCACCACTGTCACTTTTGGGGCCACCGGTGTCCCTCCCAGGGCTGGCACCAAGCTCTGGGGCCACCACCATCCCTCCCAAGGCTAACACTGAGCTCTGGGGCCACCAGTGTCCCTCCAGAAGTGTCACCAAGCCCGAGGGCCACCCATGTCACCCCTCTGCCCAGTCCCGGTGGCTGGAGCCCCTTGTCCCCATGTCACTCACCCTCCCTCCCCACCGAAACACAATGTCCCCTCTCCCTGTCCCCTCAGCTTCTGTGTCCGGGGTTGGGGACGTGTTATTTTATTTTTTGGGGGGGGGGGTGGGGGTGACAGTGACCCCCGTGTCCCCATGTGTGTGTCCCCCCCTCGGTGTCCCCGCAGGCGCAGGTGGCCTTCCTGCAGGGCGAGCGCAAGGGCCAGGAGAACCTCAAGACGGATCTGGTGCGTCGCATCAAGATGTTGGAGTACGCCCTCAAACAAGAGAGGTGGGTGACACCCCAAAACTCAGCGGGGGGGGTGTCACGCTCATTTTTTTGGGGGGGGGGTAGGGTGTGACACTGTCACCCGTGTCCCCTCCAGGTCCAAATACCACAAGTTGAAATTCGGCACCGAGCTGACGCCGGGGGAGAAGAAACCGGAGGGGACAGAACCGGGTGAGCGTCCCCATCCCCTTGGGGCACACACACACACAGACAGGGGTGGGGTTCGGGGTGCCTGACCCCCCAGTTTGCCCCCCAATATATGTGTGTGTGTGTCCCCTCAGTGTCCAACGGCCCCGCGGAGGTGGCTTCGCTGGAGGGTGGCCCGCTGGCTTGGAAGGAGGGCCGGCAGCTGCTGCGGCAGTGAGTGAGGGGGGGGTGCTCCTGGGGGGGGGGCGGTGGGTTTTGGGGTGCCCTGAGCACCCCATTTCCCTTTGTGTGTGTGTGTTTCCCCCCCCCCCCCCCCCCCCGCAAGATACCTGGAGGAAGTGGGGTACAGTGACACCATCTTAGACATGAGGTCCCGTCGCGTCCGCTCGCTGCTGGGCCGCGGCCCCCCGGCCCCCCCGGCCCCCGGTAGCCCCCCGGCTACCGACTCGCTGCTGGTGCGTCGTATCGAGGAGCAGATCCAGAGGTAAGAAAGAAGGCGGGAGAGGAATTTTGAGGGGGGGGGGGGGGGCGCCCTTAATTTCAACCCACCGTTTCCCACCACCACTTCAGGAACGCCGGGAAGGAGACGGAAGAACGGGGGGGCGGGGGGGGGTTGGAGCAGGTCCCCCCCTTCCCGCCCGGCGGCGAGGACGAGGACAGCGATGAGGATGAGGACGCCGAGAGCCTTCCTCCCCCCGCCCAACCCCAGCACAAGAAGCAGCGAGTCAAGGCAAGCGGCCCCCCCCAAAATCTAAAAGGGTGTCCCCCCAAATTGGGCATCTGTCCAAAGCTGGGCATCCCTTCAACCTGGGTATCCCCCCAAAGCTGGGGGGGGGGGGGGTGTGTCTTCCAAACCAGGGGGGTCCCTCAGACCTGGGGCACCCCTTGAAGCTGAGGGGGGATCCCCAAAATTTAAGAGGTTCCCCAAACCTGGGATGCCACCCAAGCTTGGGGATCCCCTAAACCTCAGCATCCCCCAAACTTCAGGGTTCGTGGGGTGTCCCTTTAAATCTGGCATCCTTCAAACCTGGGGGGGGGGGTCCCCCAAACTTGGGGTGCCCCCCAAGCCTGGGCATTCCCCGAAATCGAGGGGGAACCCCCAAAATTTGATGTCTCCAAAACCTGGGGGGATCCCCTAAATCTGAGGTATCCCCCAAACCTGGGGGGAGGGGGTGTCCCTCAAAGCTGGGGCATTGCTCAAACCTGGAGGGGAGGGGTGGGGGGTGTCCCCTAAACCTGAGGGGTTCCCCAAGCTGTGTAACCCCCCAAACTTGGGGTGCTACCTGGGCATCTCCCAAACGAGAGGGGGGGGAGTGTCCCCCAAACCGGAGGGGTCCCCCAAACCCAGGTGCCCCCCCGAACTTGGGGAGTCCCCACAAACCCAGAGGCTGAAGGGAGCAGCCCTTGTGCCCTCCCCCTCCGTTTCCACCATCTTCTCTCCTGGCGGTTTCGGGGGTCCCCCCAAAATGGGACATGACCCCCCCTCTTTTCCCCCCCCCTCCTCAGCT